TGTGTCCTCGGGTGTCAGAAACCTTGGACACGGAGGCACACACTTTCTAAAATGCTCACTTGCCTTGGTTTCTCCATAACGCTTTCACACGCACTGTCAAACAAACGGCTCCTGAAGACAACAAAAGTTGATGATGTGTTCGGCAGGTGCCCTCTAATACTTCCGGGTGCCCGCCTGTGACGCCACGGACTACGTGGGCCAATGAGATTGGAGTTGTTTCACACGTGCTTCAGACACCGGTCCTGCTGGCGGCAGTCCCCATAGTGTCTGCTAGAGGATGCAGAGCGAGTTCCCTAGAAGGGGAAGCTGAATTTTCAGCATCATTACTCCAGTCTTCAGTGTCACATGATCTTTCAGAAATTATTCTGATATGCTGATTTCTGCTCAAGAAACATTTCTTATTATTATCAATGTTGAAAACAGTTATGCTGCTTAATATTTTTGTGGAAATATGATACTTTTTTCAGGATTCTTTAATGAATAGAAAATTAAAAAACAGCATTTATTTAAAATAGAAATCTTTAGTAAAATTATAAATGTTTTACCATCATTTTTGTTTAATTTAATGCATCCTTACTGAATAAAAGTATTAATTTCTTTAAAAGAAAAGCCCGAGATAGAGACACAAAGACTTAGTCATATTGACAGACAATATCTGATACAGTTGTACCTGAGATCCCAGCTTATAGACTGCTATAATTTTAGCATTTTCAGAAAAGCACTGAAAATAATTGTCTTCTCTCTGTGGAGGATATAATTTATGCTGATTTGCTACTGAACTCTTGATGATAAGGAGAGATTTGAATATTATTACAGAAAAAAAGAACAGACTGAGGATGATGTAGGAATCCCTGTGATCCTAAACATTTCTACAGTAGTTAATTTGTCTCCTCAGAGAGTCTCTGGAATAACTTCTGATGGGTTAATGAGCTGATAAGGGGCTTGTGATCATTTAGAAATATGATAATAGTAATTATAGAGCTTAAGAACTTGTTGAACAGAGTGTGTTGTTAAACTGTGTGTGTGTCTGTACAGTGATCTTCAGTGTAATGTGTTGCTGTTCCGTTTAGTGTTTGTTGTTCAAGTCTCAATGTGAATTTTACTGCACATCTCACTCTGAATCTCCCTTTGAATGAATAGTTTACCCCAAAAATGAAAATTTGCTGAAAATATACTCACCCTCAGGCCATCCAAGATGCAGATGAGTTTGTTTCTTCATCAAAACAGATTTGGAGAAATTTAGCATTACTAGTATTATCACCTGCTCACCAATGGATCCTCTGCAGTGAATGGGTGCCGTCAGAATGAGAGTCCAAACAGCTGATAAAAACATCACAATAATCCACAAGTAACCCACATGTATTTCAGGAGAAACTGATACATTTACGTGCTGTAAATCCGACTGACAGGACTCTCTGAACTGCAGCGCAAACAAACATGGCGGCGCCCATCTCACGTTATTGATCATGATCAAGATCATTTATAAAGGTTTAATGAAAGGGTTAATAGCTTGTGAAGTGAAAAGCTGGTTTGTAAGAAACAGATCCATCATTAAAGTGCCCCTATTATGCCATTTTTAAGGTTCCTAATAATGTTTCGGGAGTCTCCTACAATAGGATTACATGCATGCAAGGTCAAAAAAATGCTTTAGTTTTCTCAAAATATTCATTTAATGTCACCTCATTTTCCAACGATTCTCAAATGATTCGGTCGGAGCAGTTCTAAGATTCAGTCTCTCTAAACCCCTCCTTTCCGTGAGCCTATTCTGCTCTGATTGGTCAGATGGCCCAGTCTGTTGTGATTGGTCTACCGCATAGAGCGCATGTCGGAAACGATACACCCATTGCCATAGTTCCGTATTTTGAACACTCGATAGAAAATATAAACATCTATTATTTATCACGCTTACAGGTTGTGATTCAGTGAAGCCAGCTGGTCCAAATAAACTGAGTACTGAGCCATCTTTCAAGAGCAAGCGTTTTATGAATCCCGTGTTGAAATCCCCGAGATTAGAGAAGCAGTCGTCAGTAAATGACGTGTTTGTTGGCGGGGTCAAGTTGTTTGCGGCCGGCCAACGTAGAACATAAGCGGGAATTATGCAAATGTGTTACCTTGTGACGTGTAGCCATCATGGAAGTGGGATTCGAATTACTAATGACTCGTTTAGGCTGTACAGAGTCGATTCTTCATTTTGGAAGACAGTAACTTTATTTATCGTGCACTTTCGGCTTTACAACTTTGCAGATCGTTTATACTCATACAGCTACATTACACACTGCATGAAAGGCAATATTCGAAATGGCATAATGGGGCACTTTAAGATTTTTTTAATTTAAACCATTGCTTCAGGCCAAAATACTTGTCTATAGTCTATAATAATGTGAAAATCCATCCTTGTTGTCCTCTCACATCAATATTCCAGCAGCATATTTGTTTAGAACTGTTTTGGACTGTTTTTCGCTTTTAAATGGTGCTTGATCGGTGCACATTTCTCTCCTGATTCAGACAAAATGACTTTCAGTGGAGAAAGCAATATTATGGATTATGGACATCTTGATGTATTTGTGTCTTACAAGCATGCAGTTTTTTACTTCGCAAGATGTTATTCAATGGACCGGAGTAGTGTGGATTAGTGTGATGTCATTCTGACGGCACCCATTCACTGCAGAGAATCCTTTGGTGAGCAAGTGATGTAATGCTACATTTTTCCAAATCTGTTCCCCTGAAGAGGCAAACTCATCTACACCTTGGATGGCCTGAGTAAATTTTCAGCGAATGTTCATTTTTGGGTGAACTAACAGATGCTTTTATCCTACGCTACTTTCAAGATATACATTTTATCAGTTTATGCATCCTCTCTGAATCAAACTCATGACCTTGGCATTGCTAGTGCCATGCTTTACTGTTTGAGTTACAGGAATGGCTCAAGCTTAATGTAAGTTTCACTTCACTTCTCATACTGAATCTCGCTCCACTTGTTACTCTGGACCTGTCTTCACCTTTCACTCTGGATCTCTCTTTGAATCTCTCTTTTTCCTGTGGTGTTTTTGTGTAAACTGATTTTTCATGTGCCACAATGTAAATAAGAGGCAGAAAGCTAATAATAAGTAGCCTCTTTCTCTCCTCCCATTTCCCTCTTTCTGTCTTCCTGGTTTGGGAATAATCTTCTCTGACATACTGCAGTTGAAAGAGGCTGGGGAGTCCCTGCTGTATTTGAGGTTTTTAATACTATTAGATATGCCTCTCTCTCCCACTCATGCATTCTTTTTCTTCCTTCATTCTTCTTATTTTATATTCTTGTTAGGCTTTTTCCTAACCTCAAATGTTATATTTGAATACAAAATAATTTCTCAGATCAGCACTTTTTTGCTGCTACTATTACTAACTATTAATTACAAAGAAACAGCAAATAACATATTAAACATTTTGAAGTAGAAAGACTGAAATGGTATTTTCTTGTAAAATGTATTCTCATAATCTTTGTTTTATTTATAGATAATATATATATATATATATATTTTTTTTTACAATGTATATGATATATGATTAAAATTGACTAATGAAAAATGTCACGGATTTGCTTTAATATCTAAAAATCACAGTCTGTATTTACATAAGCATGATTGCAGTTATTAAACTGAGCAATAAAATAAGTGTTCCAGTTTCCTCAGTTGACCTAAAGCGGTTTGTTTTAAGGTGCATGAACTTTAGCGTGGAGCAGCTGAGCAGTGAGAGTGTGAGAGGACGTTATCAGGTCGAGGCAAGACAGCAAGTTAGAATTCACTGTCCACATCTATCTTCATTCCTTCTTATGATTCCTCCTTTTTCTAATCCTCTTTTCTTTCTCTTTTATCTTTGTCCTTTATACCTCATGCTTTCTTTCTCTCCGATAGTTTATCTGAATCTTTTCTAATCCTTTCTTTTCAAAGGATGGATATCTCCTGTTTTATTGAAAGAGATAAAGAGGGAGTGCTTGCTGAAGTACAACTTCTTTCTCTCATGAAGGATCTGGTTTACTGTTTTGAAATAGGAAGTGTCTATTTTCCTCTTTTGCTTTCTCTTTCTGTGGCCTAGGGATTGTGGGAGTAATGCGGCGGCATTCAGCTTTTTGTAAATGCCATATATAAAGAAATGTCAAGAATATGGCTGGGTCATATTTCACCCCCAAATCAAAAGAAAGAAATACAAATTTTTATTTTCCATAAAGAAAATGGAACCCATTTACGACCATTAAGATTTTTTTTTCACATTTCCCAAAATTCTCATTACCATTATGCAAAAACACAACAATATTAATAATAATAATAATAATAAATATATTACTACAATGTAAAACAATGTGAAAA